AAGCGCTTCGTTTGACAAGTATCGCCTTTCTCATCATTGAAATATGTCTAGGCCGAGGCGAAGACATGATGCGCACGGGTCTCCTGCAGCAATTGGAAGGCCGCTTTCGCCGCAAGACGAGCCTGGATACCGCCACCATCGACCACACTACAACGTACGAACATATGCCTGGCGCTGCGACGAGACTATAATGTATTAGGCGGGCATTCAACGACGCCGCCGCACTCAACAATGATGTTGGCGTCGAAGGTGGTGTCCTTGGCCTTCTACGATCCACGCCCACGGGCCATGGCGTGTGTCGGAAGCGGCGGCGGGAGGGCGACGCGGCGGATGTCGCTGCCCGTCGGCCGGCGACGCATGTTGTGGCTGCGTTCACGACGCCAAGTATGGGTATCGGTATCTACTGCAGCGACGACAGCGCGCCTCGGGTACTGTCGACGACATCACCCGTCCATCCAGTTGATCATTTGATATTTAGGCGCAAATTGTCCGCAGTACGGAGAAGGACATCCTTGTTGTCCAGGTGTTGCCTTGCGGTGCCAAGGACCAGACGACAAACACCTTGGACGTAAAATAGAGAGAAATGACAAAATATCCAGTGTACAATTGCACAAATTTAAAGGGAATCGGTACAAGTGAGATACTGTAACAATATCAATGACTTTAACAGGTGCCGCGCGGAGCGAGCCGGCCGGAACTTTATGTATTGAATGCGAAGCGTTGTTGGACAGTATTTGCGACGACGGCGCGTTGGCCCGAAATAGTCTGCGCAGTGCAGCGATGGTTGCACAATGACGTTTGTCGAGGCCAACGCGCCGTCGTTGCTTGCTGCAGTGGCTGAACCATGGGTACGTTGCCAACACTGAGCGCAACGACGATATTCATTTAGGAGTGTTTCTTTGCTTTTCGCGTCGCCCTTTTTCTCGGCGTGCTAGTACGGCCGTATGGCGAGCTCGACCGGACCGGAGCACTGGTTGTTGAGCTGGACCGTCTCGAACGCGGCGTTGCCCAAGTTGAAGCGCTTGAGGACAAAGCACGTGCGCCGCGTTGCCGCCGTTTCCGTGCTGCACTGCTCCATCTCGCCCTTGTTGTCGCCGTCAATCACCTCGCCTTCGACGCAGCTCGGAGCGAGTCCTTGAGCGAGTCCTTGCCGCAGATCTGGACCTCGAGGTGGGTCAACGTCTCGTCGCGCTCGTCGCGGTGGCTGCAGCTTGCGGCAGCTTTTGAGCAATGAGCTTGTCGATACATTTTTCCAATTATGACGTGGCGGTCCAGTAGGCAAGAACGCCTAGTTCGGTAAGATTCACATCCAATGGTGGTGACAATCTTATGAGGCAGAGTCAAGGAGCCCAGACGTTGCTTCTTGGCCCTGTATGTGTGTCTCTCCACTCGCACCGGGCCAGAAGCTTGCTCTGAGAGCGGAGCGTTCTTGTGCACGGTGTGGTCTCGATCTAGTGGCTGCCGAAAATAATAGTATTTATATGTGGCATATGCCTATTATTACGGATAATGGTGCCGGAACATGAACAGCACGCTTTCTGTATACCATACAACGGCCAAGTATCTAGAACTGGCCAAGCTTTCAAATCCAGAACTGCGAACGGAGCGAAGGATGAAGCCGACGATGCAGGTAGGTCAGAGCGGTTGCTGACGTCCATGGACCTTCGGTCCTCAGGGCGATGCATGCACCTGCATGGTAGTTCATGGTCTCCATGGGGTAGGCAGTGAAGTGGCTGGGCATGGATCGCCACGGCAAGATGGCGGTCGCGCCGGCCGCGGAGCAGGTGTTGAAGCCGCTCCCAGAGGCGCAGCCGATCAACCTCATCAGCATCTTTGGCGCCGCGCGGCAGGGCAAGTCCTTCCTCATGAACCTCCTCGCGAACCAGCAAGACCTCTTCCGCATCTCAAACGAGAAGGAGCCATGCACGCAGGGCGTCGACCTCTCGAGCCACTTCATGCCGTTGGCCGAGTTCAGCCGGCAGAACGGCAACACAAGCATCCCAAGCAGCATGAAGGTCGGCTTTGTCGACGCGGAAGGACAGGGCGACCGCGATATTACATGTACGACGAATACCTCGATCATCACGCATGACCTCGTATGGATGCGTAGACGATTCGCGCTTGGTGTCGCCGGTGCTTTTGACGTCCAAGGTCGTCATCTTCAACTGGAAAGACTCGCTCCAAGCCGACCGCATGCTCAACCTCCTCGCAGTGCTCGCCAAGGCCGCGCAGAACGTCGAGCTGGCCGACGGCGACAACCGCAAGGTGTTTGGCCACCTCCACATGTACGTCGTTCCGTAGGACTCGGTCGGTTCTCACACGACGCTCGTTAGCGTTTTTCGGGACTGGAACTTTGTCAATACGACGCCCGAGCAGGTCTACGATACGCTCTTCAAGAAGGAAAAAGGCGGTGACAAGGAGGTTGGGAACCGCAACCTCGCGCGCCATGAGCTCGTCGACGCCTTTGAGAGCATCCAAGTGTGGCTCTTCCCGTCTCCGGTACACCACTCGCCACGATGCATTTGATCTCACTCTACCTTCCTCCCATTAGGTTGTCAGCACGGCCCAACTGAGCGAGCGCATTCGTTTTGATCAGCTCCAGCCGTCGTTCCAGACCCAGATGCGGGATTTGCGCAAAACACTCTCGAACCAGCTCAAGACGCCGATGCAGTTCAACGACCACACGCTCACAGGCCCTGTGCTCTCGGAGATGATTCCGCTCGTCGCTGAGGTACCCGCCGTCGCTGCATGTGTCGTTTTCCTCAGCATGGACGACGCCTAGATCTTGAACGACAACCGCGTCATCATGCCCGAGTCCATCTACGCGTCGATGCGCCGCGCCGAGGCCAAGAAGAAGCAGCGCGAGTGCGAAGAAGAGATGCAGCGCATGTGTGATGCGCTCCTGCAGTCAGAGACGCTCGTTTCGACGACCGCCTTCTCGAGTCAAGCCACCGATGCGTAACCTTTGTACAGGCGACTTTGCATGTATCATGCCATCCATCATTAGATTGATGGGTCTCCTTGGTTCGACGATGCAGTCGCTCCAAAAGTACCCCGAAGACGTCGTCGAGGAGTGCAAGAAGGGACTCCACCTCTTCCTCGAGCGCCAAGTCGATGCCAGCGCCAAGGCCAACAACGAGCTTGTCTTGGTCCACTTCCAAACACTCATGGAAAAAGCCAGCGACAGTCTCTCGGCACTCTTCCGAGAACTCGAAGACCGACTCCCGCTCGCACCGGCCGACCTCAGCACGACGTGCGACCAGACGCTGGCCAAGGTCACGGCTCCCCTGCTCGAGTGCCCGACGTCGACGGCGATGACGTACCACGGCGAGATTCGCCGGCTGCAGCAGCAAGCGGCCGTCTTCAAGGAGCGCCTCCAGCACTCGAACGAGCGCAAGATTCGGATGCGCACGGCCGATCTTCAGGCGAAATTGTCGAAAGCGACGCTAGAGCTCAAAGCCAAAGGTGTCGCGTGGCTCGACAAGCGCATCCAGGCCAAGGCGCCGTTCACCATCGCAATGCTCGAGGCGCAGCTCACGCAGTGGCTCGAGGCGATTGAAATGCCGCCGCGCAACGATGCGCTCGACGATTTCGATGTCCGGCAAGAGCTCCGTGTTTTCTTTACGCAGCTCCTCGAGGACCTCAAGCGCCAGTACACGCTGCACGTGCGCCACGTTTTGCACCAGTTCCACGTCGACGCCAAGGCAGCGCTTGAGCGCGAGATCCACCGATCGCTCGGCGATAAGACGCTGCCGATGGAGGACGCGCAGCTCGTTTCGGTGATCCACAAGGCCAAGGACCGCGTCGTGACGGAAGCTGCCGAGGCCATGCAAGGCTGGAGCTTCCCGCAAGAGGACATGGAGCACTTTTGGTGCGCTCATGATGGAGAACATGGAGCAGGTAGACGGTCCACTTTTGCATGAGATCTCATGGCGCAAAATGATGTAGTTGCTCGGGCAGTTTGGTGCGCAGAACCGCATTGTGACCCAAGACACGGCAAGCCGCCATGCCGCGAGCGTGTACCAAGAGACAAAAGACGAGCTTATTTCGCTCGTCCACGACGGGCTTGTCAAGCAAATGCCGCTGAGCGACTCGAGTATCGACACGTACTTTAAGGAAGCCGTGACGCAGGCCGCCGAGTATATGCTGACGCAGGCGCCGACAGCCGACAAGTCGGCGCTGGACTGGGAAACCAAGTTTCACGCAGATTTGACGACCGTGAAGGCCCAGCTCCGCACCATCAACCAGTACATATCTCGTAGCGCACGAGTGGCAACCCATATTGTGGTGTAGGAAGGAAGTCGAAAAAAAGGAGTGGATGGAAGCTGCCGAGGCCGAGCGCATTCGTCTCCAGGAGCTCGAAAGCCAAGTCCAGCACACGGAAGCCCTCGCCCAAGGTTCACTCGAACACCATGCGGTCTCCTATAAAATTACGATCTCGTAGAGCGGGAGAAGCAGATCAAGTCGATTTTGATCGAGAAGGAACAGACGTCGGCGCACCTGACGGAAGAGCTCTCGTTGCAGACGACCAAGACGCAGGCGCTGGAGCAACAGCTCGAGGCACTTCGCGTCACCGCCGAGGAAATGGCCAAGGAAAAGGCGCGTCTCGCCGAGCAAGCCACGAGCATTGCCGCCAAAGAGCGGGCTGCCAAGGAGCAAGCTGTCGCCGAGCAGTCGCGCCGCCAAGCCGCGTTGCAGAAGGAGCTTGATGCGATGCAAGCGCAGCTGGCGCAGCAGCAAGCGATTCTGCAGCAAAAGGAGAAGAGGCGCGTCTCGCAGCGGCCGCCAAGGCCAAGGCCGAGGCCCTCGAGCGCGAAAAGGAGAAAGCCTACGCGCTTGCGGAGACGGAGCGCGCGCTGCGTGAAAAGATGTTGGCGGAGGCCAAGTCGAGCCAAGCGTCCGCGGCCGGTACGCCCTTTTCTTGATTCTATCCAGCCAAGGGGCTAAGCGTGTGGTGTAGCCCTCCAAAACAAAATGTCGTCGGCGCTCGAAAAGCAAATGCGCGAGTCGGAGCAGCTCCAGACGACGCTGGCACTGGAGAAGGCCAAGGCCGATCGCCTCGAAGCCGAGCTCAAGCGCGTGCGAGCCGAGGCCGTGAGCCACGAGCGCGAGAAGGAAAAGTTTCGCCAGCAAGCACTCAATATGGAGCTCTCGACCTCCAAGCTGCGGGAGCACGCCAAAGAAGAGTCGCGCCGCCGTGCCGAAGCGGAAGCTGCCGCCGCCCAAGCGGCCAAGGCGGCCGAGGCGGCGGCCAAGGCTGCGATGGAGGCAGCCGCCGCGAGTCCGGCGCGGGCAGGCAAGCGCAAGAGCGACGGCGATGCGTCGGGGCGCAAGGCCAAGACCCTCAAGGTCAAGGCGCCGCTGCCCAAGCTGAGCCTTGCCGAAGCCAAGCGACTTGCGAAGGAAGACATGGAGAATCGCGTCGCCAGCCGGGCGTCGGCGCTGGAGAAGGGCAAGAAGGCCAAGTCCAAGCCATAAGATCTGAGAAGAATCTATTCAATGCACGAAAGAGTCTCACGACGCGGGATCCAACCCGAGGGCGAAAAGCTCGCAGAGGATCGTCGACCGGAGGTGCTTGTAGTGCACGAGCGCCCACGGCGTCAAATTCGTCGTCCGCAGCTGTTGCCACGACGCATCTGCACACCGCATGAGCGCATGCCGGGCTTCTGCCTGCGTGTAGGACGCCATGGCCCAGAGGTCGAGAAGCAGCTGCACGTAGCTATGCTGCACCATGAAGGTCGTGCCGTCGTCAAGTCCCGGGGTCTGCCACAGCCCAATGTGGACTTCGACAAAGACGCTGTGCAGGGCAGATGGGGCGCGGAGACTCGGAAGCAGCACGAGCGACTTGGCCACCGAGAGCCGAAGGATCGTCGCGTCGATCGAAGTGACTCCATCGCCAAAGACTATCGGGCTGCCGCGCAAAAGTGGCGACAGCAGCGGCAGGACGTCGGGCAGTGACGTGGCATTGAGATCGGCGAGCAGCTCGGCCGCGATGGTCGCTGCCACGTTGGTCGTGGCCTTGTCGTGCGCAGCGTACCTACCATGTGTCGTCCGATCGGTTGCATGTCATTGCTACTGTGTCATACCGGTTGCTCCAGAAGGCGCCGGGCGTCTCGAGCGCCGTCGCGACCACCGCCAGGGCTAGAAGAACCCGCCGCATGACGATACGAGAAATTCTCTGATTATCGAAGCTGCCGAAACGTTATAGCTGCATCCTTCCTGGCACGGGTGATATCACGGGCGGAGATTGGCGGATAGGCCATCAGCGACCATGCTTACCATGCCCGTGCATGGGCCAAGGACCGACGGCGAGGCCATTGGACTTACCGAGGTCTAGAAGCAGCAGCCACTGCATCGTCCTGCCGCCTGATGAGGGCTTGTCGCTAGCATCGAGAATGGTCTTCTACTCGCATGGTCGTCTTGGTCCTTGCTACTTGGCGTCCATGGTCATGCTATGCCATCTGCCGCGATCCAAGAAGATCCCGCGCGCAACTTTAGTGAACGGTCCGCCGGATTTGTGCGGTGGTGCGAAGTCTCTTATCCGGACAGGACGCCATTTCCGAATTTCAGCAAGGATGAGTGAGTTCCGCAACACGACGGGCGCCGAGCCGACGGCCTTTGCGACCGCCGGCGCCGACGTCGGTGGCTTCAGCTTCGAGAACGTCCGCCGCAACGAGTTCTTGGCGGCAGTCGGCGCGACGTCGCAGGCGTCGTTCCGGGTGCAGAAGACGGGCACGACGATCGTCGGCGTCGTGTACAAGGACGGCGTCGTGCTTGGCGCCGATACGCGCTCGACGGGCGGCAGCATCGTCATGGACAAGAACTGCGAGAAGATCCACTACATTGCGCCCAACATCTGGTGCTGTGGCGCTGGCACGGCCGCCGATACGGAGAACGTGACGCAGATGATCTCGTCGCAATTGGAGCTCCACCGCCTCAACACGGACACTTCGTCGCGCGTCGCGACTGCCATGACACTCCTCAAGCAGAAGCTCTTCCAGTACCAGGGCCACCTCTCGGCGGCGCTTGTGCTTGGCGGCGTCGACGTCAACGGGCCGTCGCTCTACACGATCTACCCGCATGGTAGCACGGATCGCTTGCCGTTTGTGACGATGGGCTCGGGCAGCTTGGCCGCCATGAGCATCTTTGAAGCTGGCTACAAGGACGATATGACGGAGGCCGAGGCCAAGAAGCTCGTCCAGGACGCGATCCTTGCCGGTGTCTTCAACGATCTCGGCTCGGGCAGCAACGTTGATGTGCTCACGATCAAGAAGGTCAACAACGAAGTCGTCGTCGAGAAGGAGTTCAACTGCATCACACCCAACAACGTCTCGGAGCTCCGCAGCAAGGTCAACCGCAACGTCGTGACGTCGATTCCGCGTGGCGCGACCCGTATGCATTTCATCATGCTCTATGAATGGCCGACTCATGGTGTCGTCTCCTAGGTGTCATTCGCCAGCACTACGAGCCCATGGTGGTCGTCGAAGACGGTACGCCCATGGACCTTTAAGCGCATCATTGGTTATCCGCGAAATGAACGCGATCGTCTCATGCATACATGCGCTTCGTCTCGCCGACACGTTCCATGGAAACAAAGCACGATTAGTAGTCATTGGGCTACGGCAAGATCTGCGCCGTCAGCTGCAAGCGCTCGACGTCGCCCTCGGGGATGGCAAAGACGGGGTGGATGCGTTGGAAGCTGCTAAATTCTTCCTTGCCGTCGAAATAGCCAAGCATGCTGAGGCCGCAAATGCCGAAGAACGTGTGGTAAATGTCCGCGACGTTGCCAGGACGATCCGCGATCCCGCCGTCATCCTTGTCCTGGCAGTTCAAGATGAACTGGATGAGCTTCTCGCGGTTGATCCAATGGAGCTTCCCGAGCAAGACGAGCGACGAGATGTTCCACCAGCTGTAGCACACGTCTGCCTGCTTCTCGGGGCGGCCATTGAGACCGCCCGAGTCGCACTGCCGCTCGCAGAGCCACCAGCCAAGGCCGTTGGCGTCGACGTACTACACATGTCGTGTGAGCATATGGGCCGTCGAGAAGAGGACGACCTTGTTGAGCTGCTGGCCCATCGAGAGTGCGCCGACCGCCGTAAAGATGTGCCCGCCATGCGACTCGCAGCCAGGAATGTTGCCAAAGCCGCCGTCAAAGTTTTTGCATGTGGCCAAGTACGCCATGGCGCGGTCGTTGTCAATCACGTGCTCTTGCTTGAGGATCTTGAGAACGCTCAGCGCGCAGTACGTAAACTTGGTGTCGACTTCGCCGTGCTCGTCGCCGACGAACGAGCCGTCGGGCTGCTGGAGCGACGCGACAAAGGCCGCGGTCTCGTCCACGAGCACGACGCTTTCTCTTCCGAGCATCACGAGTGCCAAGACAGCGTGACACGTGTAGAGCAGATGGCGGTCATGGCCGAGGTTGCCGCCAAAGCCGCCGTTCGGGTGCTGGCACGCAATGAGCCAGTCGACGAGCGGCGCCGGCGTCGCGGCCTCTTTGCCCAGCGCGGCGAGGCAGCCGACCGCCCAGTAGAAGCCGGAGACGCGCATGTGCTCGCTCATGCAGCTCTCGAGGCTCTCCTTCTGCTTCGAGAGGTTCGCCACGTACTTGAGGTGGGCGTCGAGGAAGAACGCGTCGTGCTGCTCGGTCGCCATGCTGACGCAAGATTTCTGGGCCGATCGAGGGACGGGCAGCCAACGCGCATGTGATTCGTTCAAATTAAGGCAATTTGTCCACTCCTACGCCGAGAAAAACGCATTAGTTGCCTTTTTAGCCAATCCAAAGCGCGTGCGAGGGCCGCATGGAAACGACACTACAAAATGGACGCTGTCTATCGAGTTGAAGCTCTCAGATGTAGTGTTTGGCAGTACGCGATAAATGAGCAACTTTCGATCGATCTTTGTACTGTAAAGGACTTGGTCATGGCACCGACTTCGCAGTGCTGCACCTCGTCCGCGGCAGGCATTCTTCGCTCAAGACGAGCGCATTATTATCAAGAATTCAAGGCCGAGGACCTGAAGCAGCAGCTTGGGACCATTGCACCGATCTGAGACACATCGCCGCCACCCTCGCCTACACAGCTCCAAGCTGTGTAAAGTCGAGAGCTCCTTAAAGCTTCAGTCCCCATCACCAACCTTGGTGGCCAATTTTACCGGTGTGGTGCACCGAGCTGACACGGCCTCCGCCAGGGCTCGTCATATCTTACGGAATGTGCGCGTGCATGGTACGTAGAGGCGCTTCGGAGACTTCAAGGCGTGAGCTAATCAAGACTTTTTATCCTCATCGATTACCTTGGTGGTTATCTTAGTGGCGCACTCAGCTTACGTAGCCTGTTGTGGACACCGCTCGGCGGGTGACCGTAGTCGGCTTGGCCGTCCACCAGTGCTCGTCGTGCCTTATGAGTAGTGCGCATGCATGCTCACGTTACGTAGTAATGGCGTCTCGTAGGTATAAAGGCGAGCACCACATGAGGCTTCGGTCGATTGCTTTGGCGCAGACCAAAGTGATCAAACTCGTTTTTCCACATCAAAAGCTAACCGAATGTTGGACTAAAAAAATGACAACTACAGTAGTGTAAAAATTGGAACGACATTTGCATTGTGATTGGGGTCTCGCTCTACTTCATGGAGGTTAAGCGCCTGCTACGATGAAGTCATGAAGTAGAGGAGACGACGTGTGCCATCGGCGCAGCGAAAGGTGAGGTTTCCTCGTCGCGACGAGCAGTGTTCCAGCATGTACGGATATAATAGTCTTCGCATAGTTATTAGTTATGCTGCTTGATGAGAAAATGCGGTCGATCGATCCGCTGCGGAATTACTGCCATCACTCGCACAACAACAGTCCCTTGCGCAAGTGAGGTCGTCCTTGGCGCCAAGTCGAGAATATAAATGACCCGGCGGCTTCGGATTGGCTACGGCAAGTGCTCTCGGATTTCAGATAGATTAAAATCACGCCACTCAAGACGTGGCACGGCCGTACTGTGCGTATATTTAGCAGCGTTTGACCAACTTTTTCTCGCAGCCACACTACCCATAGACTTGATACGCGTGCTTAGGCAACCATGCACGCGCTCGTGCAATTGTTGTGCTATGAAAGCGAGTCCCCATACAAAATGGCGTGATTCTAGTGGTACCGAAAAATGGCGGTGCTTGCTGTGAAGAAGGCGGTATATAATATACACATTTAATTGTAGCTTGGTATTTGTATATAAATGCACGATTGGCTTTTAAAAAGGACCGGTCGGTTTGGCAACCGCCTGGTATTCTTCATCCAGCAGCATGGCGGCGCAGGCAGAGATCAAGGCCGAGGACTTCATCAAGGCCGGCGAGAAGGCGCTGAACCGCTTCTCCATCTTCTCGAGCAGCTCCAAGTACGAGGATGCGTCCGAGTGCTTTGAGAAGGCGGCCAACCAGTTCAAGATTGCCAAGAAGTGTAGGCGATAGCTGCGTCAGGACGGCGCATGACGCTGCTGCTGCGTAGGGCAAGAGTCGGGCGAGTGCTTTGCGCGCTGCGCCGACTGCCAAATGCGCTTGAAGGAGTCGTCGCGGGCTGCGCAGTTTTACCAGCAAGCGGCTGAGGCCACGTCCAAGGCCAACCCGCTGGGTGCGATCCATCGCATCTTCATGGCCTGTTGGCTCATGGCCTCGTTGTGTAGATGCGATCACGTACTACAAAACGGCCATTAGCATGCAGTGCGAGGCTGGCCGCTTCTCGAACGCGGCCAAGCTCCAGAAGCAAATTGCGGAGATTTACGAGCACGGCGACCACATGCAGGACGCGCTCGAAGCGTACGGGCAGGCGGCCGAGTACTTTGTGGGCGAGAACCAAAACTCGTCGGCGCAGCCCATGTTCCTCAAGGTCGCGCAGTTCTCGGCGCAGCTGGAAAAGTACCCCGAGGCCATGGAGATTTACGAAAAGGTCGCGCGGAGTGCGATGGAGAACAACCTCCTCAAGTACAACGCCAAGTCGCATCTCATGAACGCGGCCATCTGCGCGCTCGCGACCAAGGACATGGTGCTCGTCAAGCAAAAGCTCGACGAGTACAACGACATTGACTACTCGTTTGGCGACTCGCGCGAAGGCAAGTTTGTCGCGGTACGTCTCTATCTCTTCTTCTTCTATGGGTATGCTCATCTCGCTACAGGCCATGGCGACCGCGTACGAGACCTTCAACACGGACGGCTTCTCGGACGCCGTGTACGAGTTTGACACGATCACGAAGCTCGACCCGTGGAAGGTCACGATCCTCCTGCGCGTCAAGGAGGCGATCGCCGGCGACATGCACGACGATCTTACCTAATACGCACGTCAACGTCGTTCCTGCATCTTTCCAAGCGTTCTTCCATGTGTACTACGCTCCATGCACCCGACGCAAATCGCCAGCAGGCACCGCATGTCGACGTCCGAGAAGCAAGAGCATGCAAGGGCGATCGAGCAACCATGTACTACGTTGGGCATGAACACGCAGTCGATTAGTCGCCATCGTCGTCGCCAATGAGGCTGAGCTTCTCGGAAAAGGTCACGGACGGCGACGTGAGCGGGCCTTGCGTCGAAAAGTAGTAGCGCTGGTAGGCGGGAATGGCGTCGTCGGCGGCCGTGCCTGTGAGGAGAACGCCGGGAAAGCACTCCTTGCGCACCAAGGCTGCGCGCTCCTCCTCCATGAGCTTTTGGTTGAGGACAAACCACTCGGGGAGGTGCGGCGGCAGCGTCACGAGGTCGACGTCGAAGAACTCGATGAACTGCTCGTTCTCAAACTTGGTCTTGGTCGTGCCCGCGAGGTTCCGGTACTTGTCGATGGTCGAGGTCAAGCTCCAGTTCTGGAGCCGGCGGAGGCAGCCAACGATCGATCTAGCTCATGCATCTACTTTGTCCGGAGGCATCGAGGAGGAGATCGTACCCCGAGATGTGGATGCCGGTCTTGCACATGATGAGGACGGGGTACTTGCGCTGATCCAAGAGGATCTCGATCGCTTCCTTCGCCATGCCCTCCGAGAGGCTCCGGACGTTGCGGTACTTGGCGCCGAGGTGGCAGACGGTAATGTCCTTGTCCTTGAAGAAGTCCGAGAGTTCGCGCCCGAGGTCGTCGCCCGAGAGGTACACGACCGTGTTGAGCCCGAGGCTCGAGATGAACGAGAAGGACGTCGCGTCAAACTTGTTGCTGCGGAAGACCGCGCTCTCGACCACGCCAAAGTACAGCGGCGGGTTCACGCTCGGGAGCGTCGCCACTGGCATCGGCGTCGGAGGCGGCCCCGACGACGACGACGGGATCGTGATGCTCAAGCCCGCGGCCGCTGACGTCGGCGGTGCTAGTCCATGCAAGCATGAGGCGCGCTTCCGCAGCATGAGAGCACCTACATGGGCCATCGGCGTCCGCGTCCTTCCCGCTCGTCATCATCCTCCAGTCGGGATCCAATTATAATAATAAAATCAAAGACGACGTAGCATTTTATTACACGAACGACTGCTCCGAGATCGCAACCATGGCAAGGTCGACGAGGCTGTCCCGTAGAGCTCTGCCTGGAGAGGCCCCTCGCTGCTCGCTGCTCGCTGCTCATTGCTACGACGACGACGACCAGTAGGAGGTGGTGCTGCTGCGTATAGGGCTGGTACTCGCGGTGGCCGACCAAGCCTCGTGGGCGATGTCGCCCGAAGCCGACGTTGTGGGATGGACAGATTGTCTGCAAGACGACGCTCATCTCGTCGTTCGCTGCAGTGTCGAGTATCTATCGCGCGAGCGTAATCTCGCGTGCCCCGAGCCTGCTATGCTGCTTCTGTCGTAGTCGGCGGTGCATGCGCTGAAGCGGGCAAGAGGACCTAGATGAGCAGGCAGTCGAGTGGGTTAAAGCAGTACGTTGTATTGTTTTAACGCCAAGTTTTGTTATCGCCCAACAGTCAAAACGCGAGGCAGGCAGCGCCCAGGACCAGGGAGATGGCCTTGGGCACCACAGCTCGTAAGAGTCGTAAATTAGTCGCCAATTTACTTCTTGCCCTTGTCGGCGAGGAGACCGACGGTCGTGCGGCCGCGGCGGCCCGTGGTACACGTGTGCTGGCCACGGACGCGGAGGCCCCACCAGTGGCGGAGACCACGATGGATGCGGACCTTCTTGAGGCGCTCGAGGTCGTCACGCAACTTGGTGTGCAAGACGTTGGCCACCAACTGCGACGACTTGCCCGTCTTGAAGTCCTTCTTCCGGTTGAGGAACCACGCGGGGATCTTGAACTGCATCGGGTTCTGGATGATGGCCACGAGGCGTTCGATCTCATCGTTCGTGAGCTCGCCGGCGCGCTTGTGGATGTCCACTTCGGCCTTCTTGCAGATCATGATCGCGAAGCGGCGACCGATACCCTGCACCGACGTCAAGGCGACCCACGACTTGCGGCGACCGTCAACGTTCGTGTTGAGGATACGAAGGATGTGTTGGAAATCAGGACCGATCACGAGCGACTACAACCAGCATGAGCTCCTCGTCGTCTGCGTCCGCTGCCTGGAGCCTCGGTTCTATGGACACGCAACTTACCATAGCTGTTTGGCTTTTGCAGTTTTGGGCTTTGGCGACAATGCAATCCCATAGAAATCGATGACCCGTGAAATGACTGGTTCCAACACTATACGACCCACCACCAATACCTCTCGCCCAATCACCGACCCGCCTTTTCTTTTTGACCAATGAAAACGCGGCACTGGCATCTTCTCGATACAAGAACTTCATACGCGCTACAGGCACAGCCGCAATCCATGCGCGGGCGGCAAGGGCGGACGATGGCACCGAGACGCAGGGGACCGACTTGGAGGCGGACATGCGCCGCGTTGCCATACGCAGCACCGGCGCATGGACCGTGCAAAGGGCTCGCAGCGGCCTCGAAGCGCGATTGGCGGAGACGCGGACGGTACACGCGCGACAAGGCTGGGCAGGAGCGCAGGGACCGCCGTGGGTGCAAGAAGGTGATACACGCGATTAGCACCGTCCACAGGCATACGAACAGAGACAGCTTTGTGGCAGTAGTGTACTGGGCTGTCGCGCCTGATGCAGCAGGCGGACCTCCGTTATAGTGTGACGTCCTTGTGGCCTCTAGGATTGTGCCGCTTGTTGCTACCACCGTACACTGCGCCGACTGCTCGCGTGGGCAATCACCCCAGAGCGCATGCTGAATGCAATGGCTTTAGTCGAGTTCTTTGGTTGACAAACACGGACTCTGCAACGAGCAGATTGTTGCAGCATCCAGTGTACTGTACTCGGTTTACGGTTTATCTTGCTCTTGTTTGGCTGCGAGCAAGTCGGTAATCTCGTCGTCGACAATATCGTCGTCGTTGTCGACATCGGCAGTCATGGAAAGTTCGCGGTGGTGGCTCGTAGCCGCCGCGAGCGCCATGGCCTCGACCTCTTCCTGCGGATCGTGCTCGGGAAGCAAAAACAAAAACATGAGCGGGACGAGCTTGAGCGCACTCCGCAGCAGGACCGCAATCCAGAGGTTGTCGTACGCGTCGCGGCCAATGCCGAGGAGCGTGCAGAGCGTCGCGCCCCAGTAGCCGCTGACCGCGCCCGAGAGGTTGGCGACCGCCATAAGCAGCGCGAAGAACGTGCCTTCGATGCCGCGCGGGCAGAGCTTGGAGCTAAGAACGAGGAGGGGCATCATCTTGAGGCGGCTAATGATGTCTGACAGCATGGCGTCACCAATGACAAACCACTTGTCCGGAATGCCCAGATGGAGATTCGTGCGTGTCACGAGCACAATCTCCAAGACGCTAATGGCGCCCAGCCCGATCTGCGCAGTCGCAAAGCTGCGGCGAAACGGAAGGTCTTTGCAGTACGTATTATAGACGACCGTGCCCACCATGAGGAAGACGTACCTACCCTTGGGTCGTTGTAAACCAGAGTAAGGAGAGAGACATGGTTGTCGTACCCCAGGGCTTGGACGTTGCCCATAAAGTCGGGCGAAAAGTGTAGCACTTCCGTCACAAAATAAAACTGGATTTGGCTGAACGACGGCGCGACGGCGCCCGAGGCAAACATATAGAGAGCCGCCTTCCAGATGACGGGGACGCGCATCGCTTGGCGCAAAAGCCCGACTTGAGTCGACGCGAGGCGAAGGCAGCTCGGTCCATGGCGCTGCGCTTGGATCTTGGTCTCTTTCATGAGCAGCGAGAGGACCAAGATTATGGCGGGCCCGGCCATCGAGACCAGGAACACGCGGGACGGGCCAAAGCTGGTCGTGATGGGGCCCGCGAGGAGCGACCCGACAATGCCACCGAGCGACATCATGCACCACGTGATCGATTGGAGATCGTTGGCACCTACGGAATCAGGAGCCAATGAGTTTGGATGGTTTGAGCTATAGCTTGGATAGTTGGAGCTATAGTTTGGATAGCTTGAGAGACAAGCGCGGAATTCGCGTTGCATTACCATTCTTTGGGTCGAGACGAGACATTTCGACGACGAGAGCGTCGATGATGACGTCGCTCACCGCGGTGCCGAGGCTGGCGAGCAAGATGAGAAGCGTGATCTGCGTCAGCGCAGTCGCCGGCGTCGTCAGATGCAGCCAAAAGTAGGCGCACAGCCCGAGAATGCTAATGAGCACGAGGTACGACTTGCGCCGGTACCCGCACAGCGGCAACGAGTCGGAGAGGATGCCGTAGAGCGGCTTGATGGCCCACGGAAACCCCGCGGTCGTCATGATGGCCTGCGACGCCGCCGGCTGCAGCTTCAGCACGTCCTTCATCAAGTACGCGATCGCGAGCATGCTAAAGCTGCCAAAGCCCTGCACAAAGTAGACCATGCCGACCAGCGTCAGAAACGGTCGCCCGAACGTCTCGACGACCTTGGCCTGCCACGCGAGAAAGCCCGCCAGCGTCGTCGACGGCGTAGCAGCGTTCTGCGTGACATCGCCATCGTCTTCGGATGGCGACGTCGCCCGGCGGCGCGCGCAGGCGGCTGGCACAGCATCCAGCGGGTCGTGCTGCACGTCCATGGCACGAATTCGCGTCAGCGCTGGCACCGTATCCGGATACGCCGGTTCCGGGGCGGCCGTGACGTGGCAGGCGCCACCACGAGTGCCCTTTTTGGCCCGCCGCCTCCTATCTATGTATGCTGCTGCGGCTCGTTTTGGCTCGTCGACCTGGCGTGCCATCGTAGCAGCCATAGCAGCCGTTGGACGACGAGTGAGCTCATGGGTCTCATGTGTCCACTACGTTGGGAACCGGGAAAAGACCTGGATTAAAACATATAATTATGGAGGGCACTGCGTCACACGTTGTCGCGGTACGGCTAAACTACTCTGGAGGAGCTGTCACGCTTCGTTGTCGACCATCTACGGCGCGTCACGCAGCTCGTACGTCACGTCGCGTTCGATTGGCACGAACCCAATCGCCTTGTACGCGGCATTCGACGCGGGGTTCTTCGAGTCGGCGTAGAGCGTAACGATAGCGCGCGGCGTCGGACGCGCCTCGAGCAGCGTCGCACTCATGGCCGCCGTGAGCGCCTTTCCGAACCCTGTTCCGCGGGCATGCGGGGCCGTGAAGATCGGACCCAGCATGTACACGGTCGTCTCGTCTGTCGTCACGGGGGGCGCCACCCCCCAAAACCAACCACCGACCCGTCGACGACCCAGAGGTAGAGCGCTTGACGCGCTATGCCGCGCGAAATGAACGCCGACGCCTTGTCTTCGGGCTCGTCCACGCCAAAGCACTCGCGCACAAAGGTGACTTGCCACGCGGTGAGCAGCGCCATGTGCTCCGCGGTCGCCAGCACCAGGGCACCGCGAACATGCATCGGGGGCGTGAGCTCGCCAAGTCGGTAGAGCACGTCGTCTTGGGTGCAGTGGCCGCGACCGAGCGCAAAGCTCTGGACGCTCTCGGGTGTGCCACGTACTGAATCAAACTCGGGTAGATCCTGTAGCGTTTGGAGGTGCTGGGCCAATTCCTGAGCAGCACTAGGATCCATGTGGGGGCTCAAGAGCGCGCCGCGGGCCGCCGACACGACAGCGTACGAAGCAATCGGGGACGTCTCCGACGCCGAGAGCACGAACCACGCGGCTGCTGGATCGAGAAGCGAGAGGCACCCGATCCGGTTGCTCGCCTCGAGCGCCGTCAAGCGAAGCGCGCGTGTGGCGTCCAAGAAACTGCTTGCGGAGAAGAGACGATGGATGTGCATTGCAAAGCCGCTTTGTCAATGAGCTCGACCGACACACGCCTATCACAGGACCAACGCTCACCTTTCGTGGCCATGGGAGCGGGTGCTGGTAGGAACAGCAACGAATACGACGTTGTTCAAGACGGTTGGACCCAAAGACATGTGGTCCTCAAACCACGCGCAACAAATTCCCGTGGTGACTCCACACGTTCTTCAAGGTACGATTGCGATCGTTGGTCGGAGCGTGGAGTTTGAGTTGGAAGCGACTGGGGGGCGTAGACGTATGGTATTAAATTGTAGTAGATTGAAAAGATTTTTGGTGGGTTCGGGTGACTCCGTCCCAGAGTGAGCGGCGTCGCATCTATGATGGGGCGTCTCTCCTCGCAGGCGGTCGACCCTGTCGTCGACCGCCTGTGTCAGTCTCTACGTATGCGAACTCTTTGTAACAACGAAGATAACGCGAAACACGTTCATATATATATATATAGATTGAACAGATAGGCGCTGCTTCTGGTTGGGAGTCTAGTTCTGCAGCCCACTTCCGTACTCGGCATCCTCGCTGTTGGCCGAAATGCCATACCTACACATGGTTGAAAATCAGGCACCCTCCAAGCAAAGTCAGCGGGTAGCCCATCTTCATCCTGGCATGCGTGTAACCAAGAGCACATAAATTCAATTCATTTATGTACTCTTGGTGTAACGTTACCGGTACCGGGCGGGCAGAACGCACTCTGCCCGGTAAAAGGCGCATCTTTTCCTGTTTCAAGCCTTCTCGGACGCACTTTCTGGATGGCCGACTTGTTACATCACTGCAATATTAGTGCACGCTCCGACCGCAATTGACCAGGTACGACGACAGACAACTTTTCCACCCTTCTGGCATTACTGTCACCCTGACTTGCATCTGCAAGCTGAAGTGATCGCACATGTCACATCATGGCTCGCGGCGCAGCGCACACGTCACGTCACGTTCGATGGGAAGAAACCCCACAGCCTTGTACGCAGCGTTGGCTGCAAGGTTCTTTACGTCGGCGTAGAGCGTAATGGACGCTTGCGGCGTCGGGCACGTGTCCAGCAGCGTCGCGCTGATGGCGGCCGTGAGCCCTTTTGAGAAACCATGGCCGCGCGCGTGTGGGGCAATGAAGATCGGACCGAGCATATACACCGTCATCGCGTCCGTCGTCATCGGTGGCGCGACGCCGCCAAAGCCGACAACAACCCCGTCGGCGATCCAGACGTAGAGCGCCTTGCGCCATAGGCCGCGCTGCACTAATGTGGACGCGGCGACGTCGTCCAAGGATTCGTCAAAGCACTCGCGCTTGAAGAGCTTGTACCACGCGCGGAGCTGCGCCGCGTGCGTGTCCGTGGCGACAATGAGGGTCCCCGCAACAGCGTTGGCGGGTAGCTTGACGCGGTGGAGACGGTAGAGCCACGCCTCGCGGGTGATATCGTGCGGCATGTTGGCAGCAAAACCCGCGACGCTCTCAGAAAGACCGCGAACGGTGCCCGGCATCGGAAGCGAGAGCGTCCTGAAGTACGTTGCGAGCGCCGACGCCTCGTTCGGTGTCATGAACGGACTTAGAAGCACGCCGCGGGCTTGTGACAGAACCGCATAGGCCGACACGGGGCAGTTTGCCGAGTCGGCGAGGACAAACCAGGCGGCCGAGGGATCGGTGCACGCGATGCAGCTCATATGATTGGTCGCCTCAAGCAAAGAGATGCGAAGGAGGTGGGTCGCGGCCAAGTATTCGGGCGCCGAGTCGAGTTGGCGGACGTAGACCATGGTCAATTGCATTGTGGGCGGGAGCTGTGGCCGTTGCGGCGGGAACTGTGGCCGTTGCTGGCCACGGGAATGTGGCATGCCGCAGATGCAACATCTGGTGACGACCATCACTCTACCTTGAAGAGCCAAGTTCTTGTGATGTGGCAGAATGGAGATAAGCATTTTGAACCCCTGCCGACGGAATTTTAGTAACGTTAGCGAATATGCTACATGGCTGTAACTAACGAACATCGTCGTTCCGACGCTGCTGTCATTGGAGAAGTATGCGCTGCGACGCTTAATGAACTCGTCGACGCCAACGCCAAGGAACTCATTGCAATTCATTTGACTCAGACGCGACAAGAGTACATAGGAACGTTTATGTGACGTATCAGCATCCCAGGGGATTAATTCGGCGTGTCGTGTCTCAAGCCGTCCATCCTATTGCCTATATGTAGAGCCATTTTGAATACATAATGAAACGCATTGGTAGAAGCCAATCATTTCGTGCCAACGTGTCCTATTAAGTGCGAAAAGAAATTCCTGTCAAGTGCTGTCACATCGCCTGACGTTATCCTTAATTCGATAAAGTACGAAAGTCGCACTTGACTGAATTTTGCAGCTTTCCGGTTAGGTGCGAATGTGAAAGCGCGCGAAGCACCGTCGTCGCAAATACCGGTAAACAACACTTCGCATTCAAAAGTTCCTACCAGCCCGCACGGGACCTGTTCGACAGCATCAGTCCAAGCTAAGCCGTGGGACGTGCCCATGTGTTGCATCTAAATACCGTCACTCTGCGACCCTTGCCACACATGGTGGTCGTCCTGTGATTCAGTTTACATTTCGCCACATCAAACGACGACCATGGCGATCATTCTCGGCTTCAAGTCCTCCACGATCTCCGAGAATAACGAGAAGAAGACGTTGAAGGGCTGGTGGCGCAAGCTCGTGGGCAAGACGGAGCGCCCGAAACAGTTTCCCGTTGTGCCATTGCCGGCTAAGTACGCCAACGAGTCCAAGCAGACAACGGTCGTCGGTGGCAAGCCCGTGCCGTTCCTGCCGCAGCAAGTCGCGTTAATGAAGGCGCGGGTCTCGGTCGACGAGCTTGGGTCGATTGACGAGCTGAAAGAAGGCGTGCAGCCCAAGAAGGCCGTGCATGACCCTACGACTGTCTCGACCCACATGGTCTTGATGATGTCGTCGGCCATGTGATCAGCTGCAAAGTAAGTGTACTATTAGTGATAGGTAGTTAGGTTATACAACAGTGATGGTCGACTGTTCCCTCATCCTTCGTAGCACGGTTTTGTATTCGATCGGAGGAGCACCGCCATCGACAAACGAGCTATGTACTGCACGTAGGGCATTGGTACAGTAGACCTGTAGACGCGGCCGGCACTCGTTCCTCGATTAAAATGTTGCAACTACGCTTGCGAGCGCGCCAGTTCAACTTGTTTTGTTTCTTGAGCGGCTCATTCGGTTGTCGCTTTCATTCCGCGATGGACGCTTTTCCTCGTTTTCGCCAAATGCCAGTGTTGCCACCGCCTTGCACCATCATGATCAGTACTGTATAGGTTTTCTGCGCATCTGTTTCCCTATGAGTCAACTCGAGATGACTCATTTTGCCAAGAATGTCGTACGGATAAAATTATCCGGCTGAGGGACGTCGTTGGGATAAAAGTTGATCCAGGGTCAACTTTTATTGCTTCGAGGCGAGTTTTGGTTTTTATCGCACAATGACGGGGCGCGCAGCGCGATGCGCGTCAAACACCACGACTAAGCCGCCTGTGCAGCACAAGGTGACCAGGAAGGCTGCCACCAAAAAGGCTGCATCCACGCCTCTGGCCACGACGCCGCCGCCCACGCAGCTGGCCACGCCACCTCCAGCGGGGTCATTCGAAAATGCTGGCACGACATAGATACACCACGACTTTGACACACCGAGAGTGCCTCCTGTCTCGCGGTACCCGCCCTCGCTGGCGAGGAAGTACAGCAGTATGGCGATCTTCTTGGCGAACGAATGCGTGGACTTGCGGAACTTGTAGTCGCTCATGTAGACGCGGAGGGTAGACACTAGAGCGCGAAACATACCTCGTGAGCAGCGGAGGTTGTTGATGAACCACTGGTTGTAGCGAGGATCGGGAATCATGTCATCGAACTCGATCTCCATTATGGTCAAGGCGCTTGTCTCCGAGCGTCCACTTCCACTTCAAATGTTGAATTCGTCCTCGTGCACGACGCCATAAGCCACAACAAGCGCAGCTCCAGCACAGACCACGTCTGTCACCACCGCCGACGCAAAACGACGTGTGCGGTCCATTTACAGTCCAAGCGTGAGTTGACTCACAAATGAGCGTCCGGAGACCAGGCAAATTTCGGTCAACCACAGAGGCCACCGGATAGTTTTATCCGTACGGTTCGGCAACTGCATTTTTGTCAAAAAGAGTCATCTCGAGTTGAAGTCGACGTTCGGAGACCAGCGCCTTACTACACGGGCTCGAACCGGCGACCTCGGGAGGCAGAAGCAGGAATCCTATCGCTCGGCTCAAGCGCCCCCCTCAACTGACAGACCGTCGTCACAATTCGTAGCGCGCAGCCAATGAGCATAGTGCTACAGTATTCAGCCGAATTAACGCAAAAGGCGTTTGGCGCGACCAATCATATGAGCTGCACCTGTATAAGTGGCGTGATTTCCAATGCGAAGGGATTGCATTTGTAAAAATATAAATATTATCGATGCATCGTGACGCCTTCGCTCTCGGCACGGCACAAGGTCGTCGAGCGGTTGTGGTTCTTGCCTGTGTCAGGGCTCCAAAGCGAGTTGCCGTCGATCTCGAGCTCGCTGTTGAAGTACATACCGTCCAGCCACTGCGGGGTGTTGAGCGATGGCACATGCCCAAGCGACCGTGCGTAGCCGCTGGCAAAGGCGACCACGCAGTGTGGATCCCCGTGGAGTGACGGGAACGATGCGATTTGGTGCAGCGCCACGTACTGCCCTAGCGCAATCGCGCCGTCGCTCGTCATGGAAGGTCCGAGGAAGAGACCGTGGGCCGTCGACAAGACGGCGGCGGCCACCGCGCGATCGATGTCGTCGTCGACCAAAAGAAAGTACCAAGTGGTCTTGATGGTGGTTGACGCTGTCGCAGGCATTGGCGTCCGCTTCAAGCAGCACGTGCGCTCAAGGAAGAGCGCTTTGGTTGGGATCTCTACGATGTCGAGCATTTTCTGCAATGATGCTTCACCAGTCTTGAAACCAGCACCCCTAACCCGGCTGATGCGCATACATTCCGTGACCTACATTACAACGTCACGGGACAACCAGCTCAGGGGTACATAATACTATTATGTACCCCTGAACCAGCTGCCACCACAGATCACGCATGTCTCTTGGTCCAACGGGACGATCCCACATCAAGCGACTAATAGGACTGCATCACGACACATGCGAGCGCCAACACTCCAACTCGGGAATTCGCCGTAGATGAGTCGTCCCTCCCTTCCAGGCAAGTAGAGGAGTGAATCGTTTGGTGCACTTTTTCCAACCCCGGTTAGTTATCAGGCTACTCGACGATTTAACTTTCTGCATTTCGAATAAAAAAGGAGGTGAATGTACCGGTCGCACCCGCTGGGTCGCACCCACTGCGCCCTGGCTTTGACCATGCCACTGAACGCCAGCTGGTGTCCGATAGAATTTCACTCGACTGTTCGCGAGGCCAGCGCAACGTCAACAGTTGTGGATTTCACCCAAGGCATGAAAATGCCTAGGTCTACATTTACTACGTGCCAGCTATGCACAGCAACCGCGCAGGGACGACTGGTACGATCGATGCTTACGCGCGGCTACGGCGGGAGCTCTCGCTCGAAAGGAGCGTCGCCTCGTCGCTCGAGACGCGGAGCCGGGACGTCGCGCCGTCGTCATCATCGTCATACGTTGTTTTATCATGGTCGATATCAGCGTGTGCGTGCGAGAGCCCTTTTGTCTCAGGGACAAACTTGGCGATGAAGAGAAAGCAGAGCACCGAGAGACCCCTATCCACCACCGTATATAGTACATGACTATATTCCGACCGTATCCAGATCCAAGAAATAGTGTACCCGCAAATCAAGTAGAGCTTGGCAATGCCGTTCTTCTCAACGTCTTTGTGGCCGTGGCCGAGCGCCTTGATGATGCCAAGCGTGCACGTGGCCACGAAGACGTTGCACGCGTAGCTGATGGCCATGAAGACCCCCATGGCCCGCGTACGAATGGCGCTTGGCGTGATCTCGCCTAGCACAACCCTACACACAACAAGATCCTAAGATCGATCCACGCGCTCGAGCATCAAGCATCGTTTCATATCGGTGTACCAGATGACAGCACCGAGGCCGACGGCAAAGCCAGCGACAAAGACCAGCACGCAGATGACCGCGAGGATGCCCTGGAGCTTGTCGCTGAGGTACAGCAGCGTGTAGCTAAGCACGCCGAGCGAGAGTGCCATGAGTGCACTGCTCACGAGCAGCAAGATCTTGCGTCCACAATAGTCTACTTGAATTCAGAAGACGGCTTCACATCTGGGTGACGCGTACCGACGAGGAAGACCGAAATGACGGTCGTGATGACGTTGATCGTACCCACGGACGCGGTCGCCATGATGGGCTCGTCGACGCCGGCAAAGTGGAAGATCTTGGACGAGTACAGAATGACCGTGTTGATGCCCGTCATGCTACATCTCCAACGGGTGGTATCCGATAAGGCGAAAGCATATAGAGTAGTACGCCTGGAAGAAGACGAGGAAGCTCCCGATGAGCATCGGCCGCTTGTAGACCCAGAGGCCGCAAAAGGAAACGCTCTATTCCACGTGTCCACAGAAGCCTTGACAACAAAGGTACCGTGGGCGACGTTCTCTTGTCGGCGAGAATGTCGTGGCGCAGCTGCTTGAGCTCGACGTCAATGTCGGTCGCGAACACGACGTGGCGAAGGCGCACGAGCTGCGTTCGCGCCTCTTCGTCCTTGCCATTCGCGAGGAGCCAGCGCGGGCTTTCTGGGACCCATGGCATGAGCATCACTTGGAGGAGCGCGGGTACGGCAACGAACGCGTTCACATACTACCCACCATGAGCCCTCGCAAGGTACATACTACAGGTCAACGTACGCGCCAGCCCGATGGGACGGACGAGACCAAGCCGTAGCCCAAGACCGAGGAGCCCAAGATGCCGATCGTGAGCATGAGCTGGTGCAAGGTGGTAATTTGGCCGCGGCTCTCGGCCGGCGCGATCTCGGCCAGCAAGATGGGCGTCACGTTCGTGACAATGCCGCAAGCGAGGCCGATGATCGTGCGGCCAATGTAGATGTCGCCTTTCGTCTTGGCGCAGGCGCACGCAATCGCGCCGCCGACAAAGAGGAGGTTGTTGGCGAGGAGCAGCTTCCGGCGGCCGTACGCGTCGGCCATGGACGCTGTCAAGAGCGCCGAGACCCAGGCGCCAATGAGCACGAGCGAGGACGCGAGCTCAATTTCGGCGTCCGAGAGATCAAAGTCGACGAGGATCGAGCCGGCCGCGTTCTCCGCGATGCAGACGTTGAGCACCGAGAAGCCGTAGCCCCAGAGGAACGAGCTGAGCGCAATGAAGTACGCCGAGAGCTTCAATGCACCGCTCGTCGCCTGCGTCGGGACGGGCGCCGGCTCGGTGGCCATGAGCAGCGACTCGCGCAGCGGCAGATCTTGTTCCATCGCTCGATGGCCAAAGTTTGGATTTTGTATCGAGTTTGACAGGTGCCAGCTGGTTTCGGCATGGACCTTTTGACGTGGCATGTGCCGCAACGAATAATCGACGTTCTATTTTGGCCAATCCCATGTCGACATTGATCTCGCTTTGGATTGGTCGATCAAATAGAACCGCAGCCAATCAACTGACCGTATGGTGGTGTCAATCAAAAGCTGAAAGTCGCTCCGCTGGGATGCAGCCCATGTGCATAGCAGTTGTCGTGCATTGGGCAGCGACGGCGTGGACGTCGACCCGAGGTCTGTGGCTGCATGAGAAGCTGCCGATCTTCGCGGCCATGTTCCAGCATCCGCCGACATCCGCGGTGCCATCCAGTGTCCATGAGTGGTTTGACGCCAACCGACTCGGCTCGCCCGACGCTGCGAGCCTTGTGACGCAGCTTTTGCAGCAGCCGTCCTTCGCACCCGAGGCCATGGACTCGCGCATCTTTCGGTGGGCGTGCCTCCATGGGCATTTCGCGGCCGTCGCCGAGCTCGTGCGCGACAAGCGTGTCGACGTGACCGCCCACGATTTCTTTGGCGTGCGCATGGCCCTCAAGCGCAACCGCGGTATCGTCGACCTTCTCTGCGCGCAGTACCCAAGCGTGGCGGACCGGATCTCCGACCTCGTCCAAGAGACGTTCACGCATGCGTGCCATTATGGGCACCTCGAGGCCGTCCAGTACATGCTCGACGACCCGCGGCTCTTGCCCGCTACGATGCACGATGTCATAGCAGCCATGACGTTTGTCGACACGTACTGCGGGTTCAGCATGATGACGTGGCAGTCACAGCATCACATGACGTTCGAGTCGACGCTGTCGGTCGTCGACCTCGTGCGGAAGCACCCAGCCTTTGACATTGGCGACCGGAACGGCCGCCTCTTTCGCTGGTTCTGCCAAATTGGCTATCTCGAGGCGGTTGAGGAGCTTCTAAAGCACCCGCGGGTCGATCCAAGTGCCAAGTCGAGTGCTGCGCTGATGCTGGCGCGATATGATGAGCCCATGACGGCGCTACTGCTGGCCGACGGCCGCGTGGACCCTGTCGCCGCAGCGTCGCTCGCCATGTTTTTCGAGTAACAAGATCTGGTGTCGGTTTATGTACCAAGACGGCGTCTGCTCCATGCAACAAAGGCATGAGCACCTCTCGTCGATGCGTCGTACCACGTTCCCTTGCTTGGTCACCGCTGTTCCAGAGCTGGAACGATCGTTGATGCCGTCGTCGTCAGCCAAGCTGCTGCACGGCTTGCTACCGTTCATCGCCGAGCCTCTTCACACGCTCGACAAGTACTTATCCGCGAAAATGTGATTGCGCCACCCATACGGTTGCATACCACATTGTACGCTGTGACCCACGTGGCCCAGCGTGTTGGGCGAAGCGGCGACAGCTAGAAAAGCGGTGGCCAAGCTTACGCAGCATAAATCGTCTAATCAAGGTCGTCGCGGATGGGGTCGGGTCGGTTTTCCAGGCCCTATGCCGCTATGGCACGCGCACCGCTCCTCGCATCGCGCCGCCGATGTGGCTCATCATACCCATGTGCACAGCATGGCATTCGGGTAAATAATGACTGTCCAATGGTTTTATCTTGGTGTTTGTATATTGCGGGACCATCGGAAATAAATTGGAGCTGCAAGCTGTTTCCAACTTCAACTTGGAGTGCGACTTTGAGGCATCTCCACGTGCGCACTTAACCGAGCATTAAAGAATAGTAAATATAATTACATACAAAGTCAGAGTTTAAAGGATACATTTTTATCCATTCGCCACACGCCCCTCGGTTGCCCTTCTGCAGCAACGTTCGCACTTAACGAAATTGCCGCGTCGCGGATCCACGGATATTCTGAAATAGCGTATACTTGTCTTGGAAATAGTGTATATAATTAGCCTCTCGGACCAAAAAGGGCAGCTTTCTTTGGCCTGGGATGGTCATTACATGGCCTCTAAACGCCCATCAAAGTTGTACGTGAGCCTAGTACGCCGCGTATACCTTGGACCACCGTCATGCCCACCAATTTCGTCGATCTCGGCTCGATATTCTACCATAGCACTTGCACCGAGCTCAAAAAATACCATGCAGATCCCGAGACGGTCCTTACTACGATGTGGCACTTGAATCAATACGTCTCGTGAGCCTTCTTCGTGCCTTCTAGCACACGTGCAAATGGTGCCTTTGCTTGCACGTCGCGCAGTGGCGTGCAGTGAATCTTCACCGATTCACACTATTTCAAGTTCGTGGGCCGCACGTGCGTGGCAGGTCGCACTTAGTCGACGTGGCGGATCCGTGATCTGGCGTCATTTGGCAATTCGACCCGAGCCCCATGCTTCGCTCCTTGACTTCCTCGCCGGTCCTTCGCCGCGCGTCGACGCGCGCCTTCTCGGCGGCGCCGGTACGCATGCTTCTACCCGCCATCTCTGGGTCTCATGGCGAGCTACTAGGAGCGTGTGCCCAACTTCATCAACGGCCAGTTTGTCCAGTCCAAGACCACCAAGTGGATCGACGTGCGCAACCCGGCGACGAACGAGGTTGTGTGCCAAGTGCCCGAGACGACGCCGGAAGAGCTCCAGGCAGCGGCGGATGCGGCCAAGGTTGCCTTCAAGACGTGGAAGGAGGTGCCGGTCCAGCACCGCCAGCGCGTCATGCTCAAGCTCCAGCAGCTCGTGCGTGACCACACGGAGGAGCTCGCGCATTCGATCACGAAGGAGCAGGGCAAGACGCTCGCAGATGCGCGCGGCGACGTC